TCCCTGGTTTGTGGACGCATAGGAAAAGCAGAAGGTAGGTGTGCTGGCTAGCTTTAATTGACAATTGACATGACCTAAAGTCACCTGAGGAGGGTGTCTCAATTGAAGAGTTGTCTAGATCAGGTTTGCCTGTGGGTGTGACTATGGGAGACTGTCAGTGTTCTTAGGAAACTGCAGATCGGGGGTTTGGCAACAAGGACTAAAGCTTCTCAGACACTCAGAGGTCAGACAGCTCATGGAGAGTCTACTACGAACAGCGCAGGCTGTGCGGCTGGCTGGCTAGAAACACAACGGCGAGGGATCAGCTTGTGATTCAAGTGGCAGGGCTGGGGGCATCCTAGCCCCCAGCTTCACATGGGGGGCTGCTGCGGCCGATCTGAACAGGCAAGAGATAGGGTCTCATGTAGCTCAGGCAGACCTCAAACCAGCTACGCAGCTGAAGACGACCTTGAACTTCTGACAGAGCGGACTCCACCTCCTGAGTGTGTAATCACCATTGCCCCCAGTTTGTGTGGTGTTGGAGAGGGAACCCAGGACTCTGTGAACAGAAGCAAGCGTTCAGTCACCTGAGCCACATTACCAGCTCCTGAAGGAGGTTTTCAGGGCCCAAATTCATACTGGAGACCTGCACCAGGAAATGCAAGAGAGGCAAGGCTGTTGGAGGGATTAAACGTTAGAATCTTAAAACACACACACACACACAAAAGCATAGAAAGAAATCTCCAAAAAAGCTTGTAGAGAAAAACTGCCTGGGGAGAAAAGCAGAAGTGAACATGTAGGAAATATGGGAGGCATGAGATGGTCCAACACATTATGGGACCTCCAGGAAGAAAAAAGAAAGGGAGTGAGGCAGAGCCTGTGGACGTATGTGCCCATGAGTGCAACTGCACGTGGTGGTGTCAGAGTTAAAGCTGTCGTTACCTCGTGATGTGGATGCCTGGAACCCCGCTTGGGTCATGGGTGAGAGGGAGCACTCTCTCTTAACTGCTGAGCCGACTCTCCAGCTCCTGTCTGCATGGTTTTCTAGGTGTCCCAACTCAGGTCTTCATGCTTGTGCTTCAAGCAATTTACCCACCGAGTCATCTCCCCAGTACCTTTTTCTCCTAAGTTTTGGTGAAACTTACTACTGTCATGTGGAAGAGCAAAAGTTGAAGTGAATGGTATTACACTTGGCGGTGGACACACCTCCTGCTCTGCCAGGTGCTTGGGGCTTATTTATCAATGGGAGAATCTGGCCGGGAAGTGAGTTGGTAGGGTGTGCCTTGCCTGGGGTGCAAGAGGCAGGTTGCCCATTTCCCTGAGCTGCCTTGCCGACAGCAGGATGCTCATTCACCTCAACATCTGCAGGATGGAAACTCAGTATTCCAAAGCTTCTTACAGGGACACACAAAGAGTGCACTGTTAACATTCTTCTGTGTTTCTAATAAGCTTCAGAAAACATTTCAGAATAAATTTTAGGTTCTTCAGTTCCAAACTCCCTATTCTCCAGAAATATTTAATTACTTATAATTATCTGTTTTTATATCTTTTCTTCTTTGATTCCTAAGATGTCTTTATATATTGGGAATATGAACATGTATTCTCACACTGAAAATTTCCTCCCAGGTGTTTGTTACTGTTTAACCTAGTAACACTTTTGGTCTGTTGGCTTCTTTGCTTTGGTCATGTATAAAGTTTTAAATTTTATCAGAGTTAAATCAAACCTGTCGGTCTCTTATAGCTTCTCTCTCAGATACAATGTTTTAATATTTTTTTTATCTATTCTAAGGCTATAGAATGTGTGTGTATGTATGTGTGTCGGTGTGTCTATATTAGGAAGAGTTCTCTAAAGGGGCAGAACCAAAAGGAAAAAATGTACATGGGCATTTACTGAATGGGCTTCACATGGCGTCTGATGTCCGCGAAAGATCGCTGCAGTGACAGACCTACCTGCCCAGAAGAGAGAGAAGGGCAGCCCACAGGCCGCTTCTGCAGGCTCCGCTTTCATCTGAGTGGCTTACTCGAAGTCGCCACCCCCTCCATGGCAGTCCTCACTAGTCCTAGTCATGCCTCAGTTCAGTGGAGTTGACCATCACGGCCAAGCCTCACAGTACCATGTGTCTCCAAGAATACAGGACATGTATGTCAAGACTTTGATGCCACCATAAGAGTTCATCTTAAGATGACCCTGAGTGTGGTTCTTGCAGTAAGTCGTCCTTTCACTGCAGATTTGAAGTGTTGCCTTCACCACTGAATGGCTCAGGCAGGTTCAACATTGTTAGACTTTTGATTTTTAATTTAACTAAGCAAAACAAAGCAAAAGGCTCAAATTAAATTATTAGCTCTACTTTTCATAATAACAGACTTGAATTGGCAATGCAAGTATCTCAACGCTAATACATAAGCTAATTAAAAAGTGCAGTAAATTGGATTCAGTAGTTGCTTGGAATTCACATTTAAATTAATTGGTAATAACTCTGCTCCAGGCTCCGCACACAGCAGGGCTGATGTACAGATTGGGCAGGCCTCCATCTGGCCCCTGGCGGACAAACTGACGAGTGAACCCAGCAGCCGGAGGCTTGCGCTCCTAGGCACTAAGACAGCTTCAACAGGGACTTGAGTGCTTCCTGTTTGTTTTGTTTTTCTTTGAGAAGGACTTTCTAGGATCACGCACTGTTTTAGAGAGCATATCTGTGGGAGTGAAAATGCCTTTGGAAACAATATGGATACACTGTAACTCGGTAATGAGGGGACTGACTCTTTAACGATGAAGGACAAGACAGCTTTCATCAGCAGAATAATTCTGGTGTTGTTCCAAGAGGTACAGCTTCAAAGAAGGATATCAGCAGCTTTCTCCAGTGGGGGGTAGACGGAGGGGGGAGGTTCTATTACCGAGCTCAAAAGAAGAACTGATAACTGACAACTAAAGGCCAGTCTCCTATTAGCCCCTGAGCTAGGCAGCTTTAACAGCCTGCTAACACTTTCTAGTGACACAGGACGCACCTAAGTACCAAAGGGTCCCAAGGGTGCAGAGGGATGAAAGGATGACAAGACTTAGGACACTGCTAAGTTCATCTCGTATCACATTTGCTTTCTTACACGCTGTCACAGGTAACAGAACTATTTGTGCATAGAAGAGAATAGACTCCCACAGAGATTGGCAAATTTCTTGTGCCCGTTTTCACTCTTTGAATCACTCTGCATCTAGGCCGTATTTGTCAATCACTCCTGCTGGGAAATTCTACACTGTGAAAAGGAAACAATAACCAGGGGCCTGTCAGACCCCATTATTTACAATTATATTTTGAATACAGTTTTAGAATAATCAATTTCATTTGCAACAGTCCCTGAATATAAATAAGCTTCAGAATAAAGATGGTTTATTTATGTGGTTTATTGGAAAATGAAAGCTTCAGTTAACTAAAGTGGTTTCTGTGTCTGGTCTCAGGAGCCCCCCCCCCCCCCCGCCCCTTTTATGCCAGCAGCTCTGCAGGTGGACCTGCAGGTAAGCAGAGGAGTAGGGTCAGTTCAAACTGCACTAAATACCTCTGTTCTCCAAGAAGGAGGGCTGCTCACATGTCTCCTCCTCCCCGCGGCTGCACGGCCCTCCCAGTAAGAGTCTGCCGCGATTCAATCTTTAAATTTTCACCCTGTAAGCTAGTGCTCGGGAGTTATTGGGTTCACTGGGAGAAACTGTGGAAGTATTGGTTTGCTATCCTGGGTACCAGGCTAGGTGGAAGGTGCATAAAGGTGACCCCTCTCGTGAGAGCTTTGATGCCTCGCTGTGCATCACAGCAAGTGACTCTGAGGACACACAGAGCACCCAGCAGCTTGTCACCTGATGCTGCCCACTTGCCCAGAACAGACATCTGAAAAAGAAAAGCAGGGGAGGCACCAGGTGGTTCTTCGCGTTTACAACCATACTCTCTGACGTACTGGACACAGCATCAGGGAAACTGCTGAGAGCAACGGAATTTCGCACAGTTCAATAGCTAATTTCCCAAATGGGTTTTAGCTGTTTACATTTCAGAACTTAAACTCGTCAATGAATAAACCTTTGAACAAATATACAAAGTCTATCGATCTTGTGTCTGTGATCCTAAGCTGCTTCCTTACACCCTTACAAAAATCTGTTGTCTATGCATGTACGTATAAAATGAGCATCGACAGAAAAGTCCCTGTTCAGATGTTTCCTTACAGGCAATCACACGCCCACACTGTCCTTTGAATGGAAACATATCCCTATTAATGCAAATATTGGAGCGATGTGCCAGATCCTGATGCATAACAAGTGGAAGCAGGAGGATCAAGAGTTCAGGGCAACCTGGGCTACATGAAATTCCACCTTAACCACCCAGTTCCACAAACAAACAAACAAACAAACAAACAAAAATTGCCCAAGCATATTTCCATAATTATGAAATAAACAACCAAAGGTCTGATTGGTCATTCAATTTGTTATCTAATACCAAATGGCCAACTGTTAAAACACTTACAATAGGGGCTGGGGAGATGTCTCAGAGGTTAAGAGCATTAGCTGCTCTTAAGAAGGTCCTGGGTTCAATTCCCAGCAACCACATGATGGCTCACAACCATCTATAATGAGATTTGGTGCCCTCTTCTGGCGTGCAGGCAAACATACAGGCAGAACACTATACGTAATAAAGAAATCTTAAAAAACCGCACATACTAATAACATTATATAGATTGAGAAGTTTGTACTTATATGACAATTAAAGAAAAAAAGGACACAATTTTAAAAGAGCAAGGAGGAGTATATGGGAAGATTTGGAAGGAGAAATGGGAAAGAGAAAATGATATAATCAGGTAAAATAAACACATTTTAAAAATCTGGTAGTAAAAGTATCATATGACAGCAATATGAAAAAAAAGAATGAGAAAACTGATGGCACAGCCTCTAACATTGCCAACTTAGATTCAAAGTGAAGACAGCTCACCCACGGCTGAGTAACCATGAGGAGGAAGAGGAAAGATCAGGAGAGGAAAGACCTCTTTCTTACGTTTGGTGGTCTCCAAGTGGTCTTTGTACAATGGACTTGATCAGGGGCTCTGGCCGGACGGCCACCGTCGGGGAAGTTTTGGGGCTGGAGTCTGACTCGCCGCTCTCCTCATCACCCATGGCCTTGATGTAACTGCCACTCCTCATCCTGCGGCAGGGGATCTCCTCCTCTCTACCCCCTGTGGGGTATGCACCCCAGTCGTCCTGAGGCACCTGGGGAAGAGCAGAGATGACACGCCTTAACGGTGCCCTCCAGAAGTGTGCCCTGCGATTTCATGAAGACAAGGCTCCTTTGGCTCTTTATCATTTTAAGCCGTGCACACATAAGGGTGTGCTTTTTGATAGTCTTCCAAACCCAGAAACGGTCTTAACATGAAACCATTGATTTTTCCAATTGTAAAAGCAAACGATAAACATTATGGAAAATGTGAAAAGGTACCAGGAATGTAGGAAAATTTTCTAACACTTAGACTTACGTCCATTTGTAATAAAACTTCATTAAACGTGAAGAAAACTGAAAAGGAGATATGGGAGAGAAAATGATGGCGACACCCACATTATTGCTAGCATCTCTCCGTGGCAAGTGTTAATAAAGTAGAAGAGAATTAATCCCCAACGCAGAATCATACCACATACACAAAACACATGCACTGCAAATGCAAAAAGATACCCTATCGTCTTATGTATGCAGCCCTTCATATGTCTGCACACTGTTCATTCTGAGGAAGACTCAAAGAATGAGTCAGAACTTTCCTCTGGTGTCCCTGGCCTAAAGGTAGATCTGGCCACCAGATGACAAAGATGGTCAGCATCCTGGTTCCTCCAATAGGCCAGATCTCACAGGAGCAAACATGATATTTCTCACAACAGCAGCCCACTCCCAACTCAGTACAGCTCCTAAACAAGGCACTGGCCCAGTCTGTGCAATTCTGCCAATGGCCCCAAAGACTAGTAAAGGGTGACCCTGGAGAAGAAGGTCTCAGACACTTGTGGTGGAGGAAAGTGATAAAACTGCACACTTGAAAAAAAACACTTCAGTGTGGCACTGTCATTGTAAAACACCTAGATTTTCAGTAATATTCTCAAATTGGCCGGAGAAGGAAGGCTGCTTTCCTTCCAGCCCCAACACTGCATGAAGCCAAGCACTCTGGCTCTTCTATCGGAGACCCATATGGCTAATGGACAGCAGGCTCTTCGGCAGAAGGCACCAATATTCCTCTCTGAATAGCACAGAGAGCCCTGTTGTGTCTGTAGATCTGACATCTTCCATGTTGCAGTCAGGAACTTGTCTGGATTCTTCTTCCATCCTGCACTTCAGGCTGGTCAAGCGGGTCTTTCTCTACCCTGGATGAAGTCCACCAACTCTGTAGGTTGGGGGCTTTAACATTTTACAGACTCAGCTCTCTGCCACGCTATGCACAGGTCTAAGGAAGAGCATAGAACATGCCAAGAGGGCTTGGTAAAATTTTAATGACCATGTCAAAGCACATGCCACCCTGATCACACAAAGCAGCTGAGGTCTTAGGCAGACTGCCATGGGAGCCAATGACGTAGACAGCTTTTGTTCAGCATATAATAGGTACTGATACACCCATGGAGAGGCTTGGTTTATAGGGAGACATCATTTCCTGACAGCAAATATGCTTGAACACTGGGGAGACGACACTGGATTGTGAAGAATGAACTCCTGGGGCATCTGATGACTTTTATTTGGATGTTTTCTTATCTAAAGCCTCTTCAATGTCACACAATGAAAATCCAGGCAGAGGAACATGATCTCAGTGGCACCTACCAGAAGATCAAGGCGTTCATACCATGACCAGCGTCCCAGGCCCAGTTTTTATGCAGAGGCCAGTCCCATTCAGGCTTTATGTAAACCTTGTGAGTCAATCAACAAAACAAAGGAGGGAGCCAGGATGGCAGTTTGTCCTCAGGGATTTCAGGAGAATCTGTCCCCAGCTATGGAAAGATGGTTATGAAGGCGTCGTGCCCTGTCTTCTGTGCTATCCTCAACTGCCAGAGATGCAGCAAGCTATGAAGAAGACTTAATTTATAGTTCTGGAGGCTCAGGAGTCCAAAAACATGGTGTTGACACCTGCTTGGTGTCTCGTGAGGGCCAGGGCAAGTAAGCCTTGCTCTCTCTGCCTCCTGACCAATCAGTGCACCATGCATGTCCTATTGTCGTAGCAACACCCAGCACAACTCATTGTCTGAAGGGCTACCCACCTCTGAATACCATGAGCATGTGAGTTTGAGGACTCACTTCCCAGGACACGGACTCTCAGAGATACATTCAATCCACAGCAGGGGGAAACAACAGGAAGCAGACATACTTGCTTTAGCATAGGAACACAGTAAGGTACATGGCAGATGTCATGCCATGGGGGTGGGGACAGACACTGTTCAATGATTTTCCCATCTATTTATATCTTCTAGCTTTTCTAAGTTGTGTATTAGTTTTGCCAGAGCCCCCAATACCACCACACTTGAATGGAAGTGATGCATGCTGAAGGTGATGAATTACAGTGTGATTAGGCCAAGAGAAGGTTAGGGTGAGTGGGAGTTCCAGGGAAAGCTAGTGACTGGGGCCAGCAAAGGCTCCTGGAGGGGAGGCACCAGGGGCTACTTAGTCTGAATTTGGGCAGCAGAATGGTGAAGGCAGAAGAAACAGCATAAAAAGGGATTGGTGGCCAGCCCCTAAGGTAGGCCAGAAAAGCTTGCATCTTGCATTCTTCATCTCTCAGTGAGCATTACAGGTGGTGACAGGGAAGAGGGCTGATGGTGGAAGGGGCTAGTTGCCTCCTGAGGGGAGGCTTACACTGGTAGGTTTATTAAGAGCTTTTTTTTTTTTTTTTAAACAAAAACATGTTTCCATAAACAAGGTAAAGATTGTTCTTTTTTTCCCCAGCAGCCTACAAATTAACTAACAAATGAGACCAGCTTGTATGTTTCTGTTTCTGATTTAAGAAGCCAATTTCACAGCCTTTGACAGAAAAAAAAAAAATTCAATACAGAAGGAGTGTAAAGCAGCCGATTTCCAGAGCATATGCCCAGGCTATGAAAAGCCACCAAGTCTCAGTAAATAAACCTTCCCCTTATGGCAAAAGCGTTGAAGCCCGCAGCGGAACGCTGAGGAGTGGCCAAGGGTGCACCTGGCACTTGTGTGTGGCAGCTTCACAGCTTCAGGGAAACAGGCTAGAGGCTTCCAGCCTCTGCAGAGCCAACCCCGTCTCCACTGTGCCAAGGCGATCAGCTACCCTGATTGCCACCAGCATGCAGCACTGAACAGCATTTATAATTTCTACAGAAGGGGAACTCTTCCGGGACTGACATCTGTGTGCATTCCCATGCTGCAGTTTAAGCACACCTTAACACTACACACTAACACATCTTCTCCTTCCTTCAACTGGCGAAGCGCAGGATATACGGGGTTAGAATTTTGTAATAATGTTCTTTTTAGGTGAACTAGAGAGAAAGGCCATCTAAAGCTGTGTTCTCCCTCAGTAAACATCTTCCTCATTCCACGTGTGTGTGTGTTTAAAGCAAGTACATGAGCCACAGGGGAGAGCAACAGAGCAAGACAGCTGGTCCCTGCACACTGTGAAGAGAGGACAGATGAATGACAAGGGATCTAAGCACTGCAGTCCACGGAGAAACCAATCATTCTGGAGACCCATCTGGGGAAACTCAGTTCACCCGGGGAGCTCTTTCACACACCCAGGGGTCCAAAGATGCTTGTTTTAAGGGAGCCATGTGCAATCCCACCAAGGAGTGACTGCCTACAACCTACACAAATCTGATCCAGTTTTCCTTAAGTTTGCTAAGCTTTGTGTGAAAATTAGGCTTTTTGTTATAGTTGGCAATTTTAATGAGCAATGGACTTTTTTTTTCTAGAATATAACTTCCATGTAAATCAAGGGGAGTGAGAACATTGCTCAGTTGGCCATTTACCAGGAATTGTTTACCATTTACAAATCCCCCGGGGCTGGCAGAGCCTTGCTGGAGTCTGGGTCCTCATTACAACATTGCTCTGCTGGTCTAATTTGTAGCTCTCCAATTACTGTGACCCTTCACTCAAAAGCAAACACCAGAACACTTCATTCTGTGCAGATTTGCTATGCCCCAACATTTTTATATCAAAATACGTTCAGTAAAAAGTTACTTTTTTTTTTCTTTTACATTAGAAATCAGGCAACAGACATAATTTATCTTTCTCCTTCCCTGCCCTATCTGCCCTGCCACTTAATAACACATATCTAAATAGGTTATATGAGCTTCGTTTTAGAATACCCAGAAAGATGTTGAAAGTGTTTGCATAAAGGACACAGTCTGGCTTATGAAGAATTATACAGACAGAGAACAGTGGTTCTCAACCATCCTAATGCTGTGACCCTTTAAGACAAGTCACTCATGTTGTGGTAGACCCCAAACATAAAATTCTTTTTGTTGCTATTCATAACTGGAATTATAATGAAAATATCTGTGTTTTCTGATGGTCTTAGTTGACCCCTGTGAAAGGGGCATTGGACTCCCAAAGATGTTATAACCCACAAGTTGAGAACCACTGACAGAGAAAGGAAAGGGTGTAGCCAGCATTAACTGCCAACTTGACACAGTCTAGAATCACCTAAAAGGGCAGTCTCAAATGAGTAATTGTTTTTGTCAGGTTTTCCTGGGGGGCGTGTCTTTGCGGGATTGTTACTTAATGTAGAAAGGCCCAGCACACTGTGGGTGGCACCATGACCGGGGAAGGGGGTTCTAGGCTGTATAAGAAAGCCAGCTCAGTATGAGCCAGAGAAAAAGCATGCAAACAAGCCAGCAAACACAATTTATCTGCGGCTTCTGCTGTACTTCCTTGGCCATCAGTGAGTTTCTTGGTGGAAATGATACTGCATGAATAACGAGCAGCTTTGCCTTCAGATTTCTGACTTGAGTTCTTGCCCTGACTTCCCTCAGTGATTGACTGAGACCTGGAAGTATAAGCTGAAACAAACCCTTTCCTCCATACATTGCTTTTTGTCAGATTGCTTTACCAGAGCAACATAAAGGAAGCTAGGATAGGATGCCCGGACGTGTCACAAGGGCCATGAACCTGGAGACACACCTCAAGAGGTAGTCAAGCTGGGCAGCGGCAACCTGGTTTGTGATGGTGAGCGTTGGCTAGCTGAGCACTCACTGTATGTGAGGAGAGAGCTGGAAGAGGCTTTAGATAT